TGTAACATCTGGCAATTTGAAATAACTATGAAGAGGCTTAGAATTGGAAATAGTCATTTTTTTTGGAAGGAATTAAAGATCTGGAAATTTGGTTAAGTATGGGAAAAAAATGAGTTTTTGGCCAACTTTGAACAGTTATAACTCCTAGCTCAGGATGAGTTAGGTGTAGTTCCAGTTATGTTTGCAAATTTCGTGGAATGGTCTTTCCAATGCCGCTGAGTTTGCTCGATTTCGAGTTCGTATGAGTGAGTTATGCCTTGGAAGTTGGGCAGTTGGCAGGGAAGTCTGTCCGGAAATTTGTAAGGGTATTTTTGGTCTTTTCCCTAGCCTTTTCTGTTGGATATATATTAGTGTGTTAGACTGATTTTGATCAGTTTTTCTCATTTTAAAGAGTGAGAGTGAGGGTTTGTGAGTGAAGAGGAGAAGAAGAGGAGAAAGAGAAGATCAAACAAGGTTTCGTTAAGGATCGTCGTGGATATCGTCGGGGGTGATCCCTATTAGGTATGTGAGATCATAGTGTTGGGTTGGTTCTTTCCCCCACACGCCAAACTCATTCAATTCCGAGAAAAGATTGATTATGTTTCTTGAAGCTGTTGGTTGTATTTGTTGAAGTTGTTGGTTGTGATTGTGTTGAAGTCCTTGTTGATTTGGGACTTGTTTCCGGTTGTGTTTTTGAGTTGAAATCTATTGTATGTTGAAGGGTTTATGATTATAAGTGTTTGGGGCTGGAACCAATGAAGTTAAGGAGGTTTACAGTTGGAAAAATGAAGAAGAAAAGTAGAGTTTTCTGGGGAAAGGGGTGGTGTGTCGCGCCTTCCAGCGCACCCCAAAAGAGCTTTTGAGCTTTCTCCCTTGGGGCGCCGCGCCTAGCAGTGCGCCCCAGCAGTCCTATTGAGCTTCGAGGGCTGGCGCTCCGCGCCTTGCAAAGCGTGAAGGATGCCAAGTTTCCCCATTCTTTTCACACTTTCTCATGCATGTTCCTTGGTATTGTACCTATGTTTCATAGTTGTTTTCAACGCTCCAAGGTACGTCTAAATGTCAAGAACTCGTCCATAACATGTGATCAAACACCTTGAATCCATAATTCCAATTCAAGGAGAGTTAATTTCCAAGTCAAGTGAAGTTAAGAGTTAAGTCTAGAAGTTAAAGAAGTGAGTCAAAGCAAGTCTTTAAAGTTGTTCAAGAGTCTTTATTGAATGTTTTAACTTCATTTTAAGGCTCAAGTTTCAAGTCAAGTAAAGAGTAAGGAGTCAAGAGTTTCAAGTTAAGTCAAGAGTATAGAGTTGAGTTCATTTCTCAAAAGTTATTAGGGAACTATGTATTCCCAAAGAAGCTAAAGTATTTTTGGGAGTAGTCTTGAGCACCGAATTGGGGACACGAGTTCTTATTAACTCAACTCTCCATAAGAACCATGTAGCCAACCATGGGATTTGTCGGATCATACTTTTTAGATGATCACGAAAGTTAAGCTAGTGGATCCATTAAGCAAAAGTTAAAGTAAGGTCCTATATCGATGGCAAGGTATAGGATGGTCCTTGGGCAACGTGAGGTAAAACGTTGTATCACCACTTAGTTTCATAGTGGTGGTTGTCGGTTAGAGAAACTCCCGTAGCAGTAGAAAGTGCATGGTTCCTTGAGAAGTTCTGCTTAGTGTGGATGGGGGTATGGGACTTCATTCATGCATTGCACAAGTAGACTTTGAGAGGCAGCATGGTATTTTTATGATATTATAAATATGATTTTAAGTCATGTTTTAATAGTTTTACAAGCTTTATATATTGCATGTGTCTTATTGCTTTATATATTGAGTTCAGTTATTTATGAGTTGAACAGAGCCAAGGTAAGAGTTCCTTTGTACTCCTTTCAAGCTTAAGTTGTGGTTTAGCTTTCCAACTCGCATACTCGTACATTCAATGTACTGATGCTAGTTGACCTGCATCTTATGACGATGCAGACGCAGGTACCCAGGGTCAGTATCCGGTTCGTCATTGATCCAGCTGAGTACTTCAGAGTCAGTGGTGAGCCTTTTTGCATTCCGGAGGACTCGGTTATTTTGTTCTCTTAGTTTTGTTTTATTAGGATGTTGTGGGGTCTGTCTCAACATCCATCTCAGTATTTTAGAGGCTTTATAGACAGTCAGTCAGTTAGTTTTGAGACTCTCATTTATGTATATATGTAATATTCTATTTTGAGACTCGAGTTGCCTTTTTGGCCAAATGTGTATCATTTAAGTTGGTTATGTCTTTGCATGGCATTGAGTTATTCTGTTGAGTAGGTTTCCGCTGAGTTAAGAAAGTCAGGCCAAGGGTTCGCTTGGGGGCCAGCAATGGTCTTCGAGTGCCGGCCACGTCCAGGGTGTAGGCTCGGGGCGTGACAAATTCAAAAATAAAAGGTGGTTACATATTTGAAAAAAACCATTTTTAGATATGTTTTTTTTTTTCCAGATTTAAATTAAACCGTATTTGATTATCCTTTAAGCAAATTTTCAAATTTAAATGGGAAGTTAGATAAACATGGAATTTATTAGATTTTATCTTCTTCTTTTTTTGGGTCTTTATCTTTATATACATTTTCTTTTTTTTAAAAGTAAATAAATTCGTGAGCAAGGAGGTTTCCACGTAAAACTCTTGTGCCTGTCTTTATATTGTGCTATGTATTTTCCGCATCTTTACTTCAGCTACTGTTCTTGCTGAGTCAAGGGACCTGATCCGTAGACTAATAGTGGACGCATACATTCCAACAAACTCTTATGGCTGTTGCATCAGACGAATAGTACTCTTTCTTCACTTCAGCATCTTGTTCATGAGATTTACGAGTCCCATCGATCATTCCTTCCAAACTACTTGAAGGAATCCTATGATTTATCAGTTGGAAAAATCCCCATTTCTCATATGCTTCCCTTATTTCATCAACAATCTTCTTACGCCGATCTTCAACCTCTATGCCACTTAGATCCACGACTGGAACCTGTAGAGTTGACTTGCACATATTCAACTCATCAGCAAGTTCATGAGGTGGCCTAATGAAAAGTCTTGGAATCTCGACTATTCCAGAGTCAAGTAGTCCCTTAACACCAGCTTTTGTATCATCAATAGCCTTTCTCTCATCCGATGGATCATAATCCATTTCAATCTAAATTGATAGCTTCTAGCTAGTTCAACGGACAAGATGGTTGCGCTCCAAAATGGGACGATAGTGGTCAGCAGACAAGCTCGTTCTGATCTTGAGCAAGTACATAAATTCTGTGGTACATTATCATAACAATCAAGATGTGAGACCAGTTCCTCCTAATTATTAATTGATTGATCAAATAAACATGTAAAGTCAGCTAAATATCCATATATAACAAGTTATTGTGGATCCTTTTGGATACTATTAATCAATTATACCAGCCATTTATAGTTCTCTATAACTATAGTCGAAAATTAATGAAGTTTGACTTCACTAAATTAATTTATCAATTATATATTATGATTTTTTGAATCATAATTCTGTAAACTGAAAAGGGCCGAAAATGTCCCTATACTATCTCAAAAGGCCTAAGTATAAGGTGAAATAAAAGGAAAATAGTTTGGATTATAAAAAAAATTGGAGTTTAAGATATGTTAATGTATTATTGTGGATAATTGGCAATAACACTCAACAGAGAGGGATTGAAGTGGAAAACTGTAACAAATAGCAATGAAATTGATACTTCAACGACAGAATTACAATTGAAGTAGCGAAAATAAGATAGCTAGGGATACTAGGAGAAATAGTACATGCATTATTAGAGGAACAAATTGAAGGACACATAAGGGAGTTTGTTCTTGAGATTTACCACAAACTCTGACATTGTTCTGTCTGAATGATGATAGTCTTTTCTGATAGTTTTTGCTGCTGCTTGGTGACGTTGTGCTCGGTCTCTATTCACAGTCTGAAAAGATCAAGACCAGTCTTATCAAGAGGTTTGGAGAAAAATTTAGCAAGATAATCAGCTACTAGAAAGTCTTTATATAGTGGGGGCTTTTCTTCCGATATGAGCTCTTTGATTGGACCAAACATCTTTGGAGATACCGAACTGAAGAAGCATGCCACAGAAATCCTTGGTCCTACCTTAGTTGCTACAAATCTATGAATTGCACTTACAAACTTGTCATTTGATACGATCTGTTACAAAATTAGTTTGAGTTGAGTAATAATTTGTGAAAAAATGAGAACAAAAAGTTATGCTTTGTTGCAAACCTGAAGGAGATCACCAATATTAACAACCAAACCATATTCAATCGGTGTAACATCGGCCCATTGGTTATCACACATGACTTGGATCCCACCACTTTGATCTTGAAGCAGAATTGTAAGGAAAACAGGATCTGTATGCTTACCAGTACCAAGAGTTAGGTCTGGCTGTGGGCATGCCGGGTAATAATGGCATGCCAACATTTGTCCTTTGTCACATTCGGTGGCTTTCAAGTGGTTTGACTTTAGCCCGAGAGCTTCTGATAGTAAGCCAAGAAGAATCTCCACTATTCCAGCAACTCCTCAGCAAGTTCATGAGATGGCCTAATGAAAATTCTTGGAATATCCACTATTCCAGAATCAACTAGTCCTTTAACACCGGTTTTTGTATCATCAATAGCCTTTTTCTCATTTGATGGATCATAATCCATTTCTAATTCAGCCTGAGAGTACTCTTCAGTGCCGGATATCTTTTCTTCTTAATTTCAACAAGGTCAACTCTTGAATATTCAGAAGAAACATACTCGCTTTGTCTCTATTTACTTGTCTATTTTTTACTTTGACATACATATAAAGAAAATAATAATTGACATAGTGAGTTTATCATTTTACCCTGTGGTTCTACCTTTTTCAAAAACATTAACTTTCTAAATAACTTGAGGGTATAATAGGTAAAAAATATTATATTTTCTTGATTTGTCAAAAATGAAAAGTAAAAAGGGACAGAGGGAGTATATCTTTTATAATTAGTTTGAAGTTAAGACTTGAGATCTGGGTATCACTCTGTCCTAGAATTCTGTAAAATATTAGTTTAATGTTTTTTACTATAAACTAATGAAGTTAGGTGGACATGTTGCACAGAATCCATAAATACACCACATGGATTTCTGGAAAATCCTATTGGGGTTAGATGCAAAAGGAGTTAGAAGGCTGAGCATATGATTAAAAAAAATTCACACATTGGAAACAGAAAGAGTGCAGAATAAATAAATGGGGATAAGCTGCATATTCCTCCAGTACTCATGTGTAAAACATTATTGTACACATAAGAACATACTTTAATGTAATAACAATCATAGGTTTTATGAAGGACTATACTGATGGCGTTTGTCGCTGCTTGGTAATGTAGCTTTTGGTGTCTCTTCACAAGTCTGAAAAGGTCAAGGGCAGATATACCAAGAGGCATGGACATAAACTTAGCAATGTAATCAGTTACTGTAAATTCTTCATATAGGAGGGGATCTTTGTTGGCAAGGAATTATATAGCCATGGCTTATTTGTGCTTAATATTTTAGATGATATAAGTGAAAATGCATCTACTTCTGCTTATATGATTGAGTCTATATCTTTGTTGCCTAGTAGATTAGGACATGTTAATGTCCCGTATATAAAGAACACGCAGTTTCTTGGTTTAGACTCAAATAATAATAACAATGTGAAATATGTATTGAAACTAAAGCAACTAAGACAGCAGTTAATAGTGATCACTTGAAAGATCCACTGGATCCCATACATAACTGATCTAATTTTGCTAGAAGGTGATGATAGTGCATAACAGTGTCATAGGAACAAATTGAAGGATACACAAGGGAGTATGTTCTTGAAATTTATCCCTTTATTTGAAAATAAACAGAAGAATTAGAAAGACATTGTTAAAAAAACATTATTGTACTGTGAATTGCAAACTCTGACATTGTTCTGTCTGAATGATGATAGTATCCTGATGGTATATCGTTATTTTAGCTGCTGCTTGGCGATGTGGTTATCGGTCTCTATTCACAGTCTGAAAAGATCAAGACCAGTATTATCAAGAGGCCTGGACAAATACTTAGCGAAATAATCAGCTACTAGAAAGTCTTCATATAGTGGGGGGTTTTCTTCTGATATGAGCTCTTTGATTGGACCATACATCTTCGGAGGTGAAGAATCTCCAGTGAAGAAGCAAGCCACTGAAATCCTTGGTCCTACCTTTTTCGCTACAGCTCTATGAATCACACTTACAAACTTGTCATTTGATAGGATCTGTTACAAAACCAGATGAAGATGAGTACCAATTTGTAAAGAATTGAGAATAAGAAGTTGTGTTTTGTTGCAAACCTGAAGAAGGTCACCAATATTAACAACCAGACCATGTTCAATCGGTTCAACATCGGCCCATTGGTTATCACACATGACTTGGAGCCCACCAATCTGATCTTGAAGCAGAATGGTAAGGAAAACAGGATCTGTATGCTTACCACTACCAAGAGTTAGCTCTGGCTGTGGGCATGCCGGGTAGTAATGGCATGCCAACCCTAGTCCTTTGTCACATTCCGCAGCTTTCAAGTGGTCAGGTTTTAGCCCAAGAGCTTCTGATAGTAAGCCAAGAAGAATGTCTCCTAGTTTTGTGACATGATTTTTGTACTCAAGGAATGTTCTCCTGGATATTAGGAAAAGATCAGGAGATTACTAAGTTAGAAAAACTTCAACACCTTGTACACATCAAACATGACAGATATAGAATTAAAATCAAGCGCATAAAATACAGAGTTACCTGCAAACTGGTGGTATTTCTTCAGGTTCAATGTATCCAGAAACTAGCGCAGAGATATGTAATGAATCCTTCCAGGTTGCAGTCCTTCCTTTTGTTGTCAACAGTTGAAGATTGCTCTCATATCTAACTCCTCTGGTTGGATTAGACGAATAGTACTCTTTCTTCACTTCAACATCTTGTTCATGAAATTTACGAGTCCCATCGATCATTCCTTCCAAAACACTTGAAGGAACCCCATGATTTATCACTTGGAAAAAGCCCCATTTCTCTGATGCTTCCCTTATTTCATCAACAATCTTCTTACGCCCATCTTCAACTTGTATGCCACTGAGATCCACCACTGGAACCTGTAGAGTCGACTTGCACATATTCAACTCCTCAGCAAGTTCATGAGGTGGCCTAATGAAAATTCTTGGAATCTCGACTACTCCAGAATCAACTAGTCCCTTAATACCAGCCTTTGTATCATCAATAGCCTTAACCTCATCCCATGGATCATAATCCATTTCTAATTCAGCTTTAGACTCTTCAGTGCCAGGTATATTTTCTTCTTAATTACAACAAGGTCAACTCTTGAATACCTCTTTTTAATTAGTTTGAAGTTAAGACTGCAGATCTGGGGAATCACTTTGTCCTAGAATTCGTTAAAATAGTAGTTAAATGTTTTTTACTATAAAGTATAAACTATTGAAACCATAAATGCATCACATGGATTTCTGAAAAATCCTATTGGGGTTAAACACAAAAGAAGGAAGAAGGCTGATCATATGATTAAAAAAATATTCACACATTGGAAACAGAAAGAGTGCAGATTAACACCTAAAATATCCAAACAAAATGCTGCTATTTTATTCAATATGAAATGCTTACATATAAAGGGATAAGCTGCATATTCCTCCAGTACTCATGTGTAAAACATTATTACAGATGAGAACATACTTTAATGAACAACAATCATAGGTTTTACGAAGGACTATACTGATGGCATTTGTCGCTGCTTGGTAATGTAGATTTTTTGTGTTTCTTCACAGTCTGAAAAGGTCAAGGGCACATGTACCAAGAGGCCTGGACATAAACTTAGCAATGTAATCAGTTACTGTAAATTCTTTATACAAAAGGGGATTTTCTTCTGATATTAGATCTTTGGTCGGACCGTAGATCTTTGGTTGTGCAAAACTACCATTGAAGAAGCATGCCACTGACATTCTTGGTCCTACCCCATTCGCTATAACTCTATGATTTGCACTCACAAACTTGTCATTTGATAGGATCTGTGACAAAACCAAATTGAAATAAGTTGGACAATTTTGTCTAGAAGATAAACCAGACTAAGAAAAGTTTTTTTTTTCTTTTTTTCGCTACAAACCTGAAGTGCTTCGCCAATATTAACAACCAATCCTTGTGAAACCGGTTTAACATCGATCCATTGGTAATTGTGCATGACTTGAAGGCCACCAATTTGATCTTGAAGAAGAACAGTAAGGAAAGCAGGATCTGTATGGTTCGCAGCGCCAAGAGTTAGCTCTGGCTGTGGACATGCTGGATAGTAATGACATACTACTGATTTTCCTTTAGTACATTCCATATCTTTCAAGTGATCTGGTTTTAGCCCGAGTGCTTCTGATAAAATGCTGAATATAGTTTCTCCTAGCTTTGTGACATGATTTATATACTCAACGATTACGTTCCTGGATATTAGAAAAACGATTTAAGATATAATATAGCCTAACATGTCAAAAAATTGTACTACCATTTGAAGATATAATTCAGTGAATTAAACACTACCCTTCTAACAACATGAACTTTTTAGATGAGATGTTCACAAAATTCAATACGGTACCAGAGTAGGTAGAGGCCCTGAGTTCAAATCTCACTGACACCTATTAGACAAGAAAAAATCACATACACTTGAGGGGACATGCTGAATATATAATTAAGTGGATTAAGGTATACCCTCTCCAACAACTTAAGTTTTTAGATACGTAATCACACAATTATCGAAAAGTCTGTCCAAGCAACTGATCTAACTTTACTCCATGAAAAATCAAAGATATGAAATTCAAGAACAGAAGGTCAATATATACTTACCTGCAAACTGCTGGTATTTCTTCCGGTTCAATATGACTTGAATGTAGCAAAGAAATGTTCAATGTATCCCTCCAGTTTGCAGCTTTTGACTGATAAAGATCAAAGTTGCTCTCATATCTTACTCTTCTCGATGTGAAATCACGCGAATAGTACTCTTTCTTTACCTCAGCATCTTGTTCGTGAAATTTACGAATCCCATCAATCATTCCTTCCAATACACTTGAAGAAATCCCATGATTTATAAGTTGGAAAAATCCCCACTTCTCCGATGCTTCCCTTATTTCATCGACAACCTTCTTACGATGATCTTGAACTTCTATGCCACTGAAATCTATAACAGGACAATGTAGAGTTGACTTACCCTGAGTCAACTCTTCAACAAGTTCATCAGGTGGCCTAATGAATATTCTTGGAATTTCCACAATTCCGGAATCAACTAATCCTTTAACACCGGCTTTTGTATCATCGAAAGCCTTTAACTCCTTCAATCGATCATATTCCATTGTTAATTCAGCTTGAGACTCTGCAATTCTGGACATATTTGTTCTTAATTTCAACAAGGGAAAGATTCTTGAGCAATTAATAAGTTAGTTAAAGTCAACTAGTGCTCATAAATAATGTGGTCCAATGTGAATCAATATTCAAAAGAAACATCAAACAACAATATATTTAGTGAAATCTCATCCGTGGAGTCTGGGGAGGGTAGAGTATACGCAGACCATACCTCTACCTCATGGTCGTGGAGGTAAGGAGACGATTTTTGGACGACCCTCGACTCAAGTATAACATATCAGAAATAAAAAAGGAAAAATGACAGTGGAGAAACAAAACAACTAATAAGGAAATAATAACAACCATAAAATAATACTCCTCCGTTCCTATTAAGTTGCCACCATTTTAGGTTTCAGGCTCCTTAAGAAAGTAGGTAAATTTACCATTGTATCATTATTTAGTGTTCTCTCGAAGTCAAATTTTCAATAAATGAACATGAATCAATTTATTTTGATTAATAAAATTGACCAATGAACATAAATAAATTATTTAGTTTTCCTATATTGGTCAAATTTATATTTTTAAGGCTAATAACTCTCAAGGGTAAAATAGAAAGAATAATCCATTTATGTATTAATTTTATAAAATGACAAGTATTAAGTAAATCTATTTTTAATAATAACTACATATAAATAGAAACAGATGGAGTACAAAAAAATATTCAAAAGAAACACTTCCTTTTATTATTAGTGTGAATGTGAATGAACTAGGTGTGAAATATGACCCAAAAAATGATGGCCCCACAATCCATCCAATAAAATAATTTTGTATCCTAATACTCCCTCTGTTTCTATTTACTTGTCCATATTTTACTTAACACACATATTAAGAAAATAATAATTGATATAGTAAATTTATCATTTTATCCATATTAATTGATAGAATTCCAAAATCAATTTAAGGATCTACCTTTTTCAAAAATCAAAAACATTAACTCTCTAAATAAATTGAAGATATAATAGGTAAAAAATATTGTTTTTTCTTAATTTATCAAAAATGACAAATACAAAGGGACAAGTAAAAAGTCAAAAATGGACAAGTAAAAAGGAATCGACAATAGAAGAATTCTTCTTAGACGGTAGATTACGAAAGAGAACGGCTATTAATTAATTAATAATCTTTATTATTGAAGGCTAATGGCAGCAACCAATTAGCAATGACTTTATGAGGGGAAAGCAAACAAGCATATGAAGTTACTAAAATGCCATTGATCGTCCTTTGCTTCACTATGTTATATACTTCATTCGTCCAATAATAGTTGTCCAATATATTATTTTTTGGATGTCCAACAATACTTGTTCACCTTATGAAATCAATGGATAATTTTACATTTAATTATTAATCTATCCTTATTATATCATTAATTATAGTCATTTCACAATTACATTTTTCAAGACATTGTATTTATTATATTCAAAGGGTGAGAAACTAAAATTATTCTTCTATTTATAGTTTTTAAGAAATGTGCAAAGTCAATAGTGAACAATTATTGTTGGACCGAGGGAGTAGAAAAATATTGAAGGAAAAAAAAATAGGAAAAAGATAAATATGAATTTTTAAGGGTGATATAATAAAATTATCCTTCTATTTATAGTTTCTTAAGGGGTGTGCCAAGTTAATAGTGGACAACTATTGTTGGACTGAGGGGTATTATCTAACATGATTATGAACATTAAACGAAAAATATTTGTGATTGAGAAAATTTGGAGCAAAAGTGTTTATTTCATTGTGATTTACTATAATTTTAGTTCTTTCAATAAGCATTATTTTATACAAATAAGTTTTACTTCAAAGGAGATTTCATTAGTTTAGTACTTAGTCATGATTTTTGTGGATGGAAATTTGTTAAAGTATTTGTCATGATCTTTTGATATGGACTAACTTATAAGATAATCAATTTAATAAATTCATGATTGATATGTTTTTATAAGCGTTTTCGGTGGACAAGTTAACTTAATAAAATCAAACTTCATTAGTCTTCAACTATAATATAAAAAAAAAACTAGAAATGGCCGGCATATTTAATTAATATCCCAAAGGACCCACAATAATCTTTTAAAAATTGAAATTGAGCTGACTATACATGTTTATTTGACTAATCAATTAATAATTATGAGGAATTAGTCATTGATTGTTGTGTTCTTACATCTTGATTGTTACGATAAATATCCAGAAGGAGCTTGTCTGCTGACCACTATCGTCCCATTTTGGAACGCAACCATCTTATTCATCGAACTAGCTAGAAGCTATCAATTTGGATTGAAATGGATTATGATCCATCGGTTGAGAAAAAGGCTATTGATGATACAAAAGCCGGTGTTAAAGGACTAGTTGATTCTGGAATAGTGGAGATTCCAAGAATTTTCATTAGGCCATCTCATGAACTTGCTGAGGAGTTAACTATGTGCAAGTCAACTCTACAGATTCCGGTGGTGGATCTAAGTGGCATAGAAGTTGAAGATGGGCGTAAGAAGATTGTCGAAGAAATAAGGGATGCATCTGAGAAATGGGGATTTTTTCAACTGATAAATCATGGGGTTCCTTCAAGTGTTTTGGAAGGAATGATTGATGGGACTCGTAAATTTCATGAACAAGATGTTGAAGTGAAGAAAGAGTACTATTCGTCTGATCCAACCCGAGGAGTTAGATTTGAGAGCAATCTTCAACTGTTGACAACAAAAGGAAGAAATGCAACCTGGAAGGATACATTATATATCTCTAAGCTAGTTTCTGAACCTGATGAAATACCAGAAGTTTGCAGGTAACTATGTATTTTCTGTACTTGAATTTCAATTCTATATCTGTACTGTTTTACGCGTACAAAGGTGTTGAAGTTTTTGCATTAAATCTTGATATTTTCCTAATGTCCAGGAAAATATTGGTTGAGTACAAAAATCATGTCATAAAACTAGGGGACATTCTTCTTGGCTTACTATCAGAAGCTCTTGGGCTAAAACCTGACCACTTGAAATCCGCGGATTGTAACAAAGGACTAATGTTGGCATGCCATTACTACCCTGCATGCCCACAGCCAGAGCTTACTCTTGGTACCGGTAAGCATACAGATCCTGTTTTTGTTACCATTCTGCTTCAAGATCAGAGTGGTGGGCTCCAAGTCATGCGTGATAACCAATGGGCTGATGTTGAACCGATTGAACATGGTTTGGTTATTAATATTGGTGACCTTCTTCAGGTTAGCAACAACACACAACTTTTTGTTCTCATTTGTTTACAAATTGTTACTCATCTCAATCTGATTTTGTAACAGATCGTATCAAATGACAAGTTTGTAAGTGCAATTCATAGAGTTGTAGCAAATAAGGTAGGACCAAGGATTTCAGCGGCAAGCTTCTTCACTGGAGGTTCTACACCTCCGAAGATGTATGGTCCAATCAAAGAGCTCATATCTGATGAAAACCCCCAACTATATAAAGATTTTCTAGCTGCTGATTATACTGCTAAGTATTTCTCCAAGCCTCTTGATACTCGTGATCTTTTCAGACTGTGAAGGGAGACCGAGCACCACATCGCCAAGAAGCAGCAAAAACCATCAGACAGATTATCATCATTCAGATAGAATAATGTCAGAGTTTGTGATTCACTGTACAAAACATGTCGTCTTTCGTGTTCTTCTGTTTATTTTCAAATAAAAAGGGATGAATATCATAAACATACTCTCTTATGTATCCTTCATTTTGTTCCTCTACTAATGTATGCACTATCATCATTCATCCCCTTTTAGAAAAATCGGATCAGTTCCGTAATATTTCAAGTGATCACTATTAACTGCTGTCTTAATTAGCCAAACAATCTATTTTCGGGATACGATTAGAAGTGATTTTATCGGTGAAATAGTGATATAGTTGAGTGACCTTGTAGGTGAAATGACAGTGGTTGAGTGAGTTTTATATTACAGAACAAAATTGAGTGACTTTCTGAGCTACAAACTGTTAGTTGAATGACGGTCTAAGAAGTTAACTCAAAGAAAATGGACCTTAGAAACTAACTCATGAGGTGATGATTGAGTAGGACCTTATAAGGAGATAAAAAGCTGATCGATCCTCCCTCAACGGCTCAACCAACACGAGACACTTGACAATAAGGTAAAGCGTAAAGAAGATTCCGAAAGAATTAAATGGAATACATACCTGTAGAAGATCTCCAATTGTGGGTGGGGGTTTACAATTGTATGTATACCTCACATTTTTTACTATATAAACTTGCAAAATAATGAACCAAGATTATAATGAAATGCCTTTTCGGAATATTCCAACTCATTCATTCATCATAAGGTATCAGAGTTTGTTAACTGTTAAGTTCTGAGAAGATGTTGAAACATATCTGTAAATCCTTTTGGACTATTTCTGCAATTTGAAAGGTGACAATAACGAAGTTCCATCGAGCCCTTTGTTGTATAGACGCGTGACATACTCTTTTCTGCTTGTTTCCCGGTAGATTGGAGGGTTTTCATCGGATAACAACTCCTTGATCGGACCATATAATCTCGATTCACTGCCTTCTTGAAAATGCATTCTGAAAAAACTTGCCACTGAAATTCTTGGTCCTACATTTTTCGCCAAAACTCTGTGAAGAACACTTTTGAACCTGTCATTTGTGATGAGCTGCAAAACCAAAAAAAAATGGAAACTAGTGAATTCATTAATCAAGTTCTTGACGTTTATGTAAAGAGTTTAAGTTATGTGCACAGACAAATGTATACATTTCTTACACCTACAATAGTAGGTACATTTCATAACAAGACTGACCAGGTTATAATAGCCTGAAAATCAAAGTAATAACCAGCTATAACAGTGCACTGCTAGTGCCAAATTTGTTTTCGATGTCAATATATATAACTTAAGTCCGTGTATTTATACATCAAGCTCATTTTTACAAATGTTTACTTGCCTGCATAAGATCTCCAATGTTCACTATTAGAGCTCCAGGTAAGAAAGGAACATCAACCCATTGATTTTTATGAAAGACTTGGAGGCCATAATTTGATCCTGTAATACAAAAGTCAAGAAGCCACTATCCGTGTGACCGCTAAGGCCTAAAGTCAGATCTGGTTCAGGGCATGCGGGATAATAATGGCCGGTGATGAACAACCCCTCGGCACATTCCATGTCTTTCAAGTGATCTGATTTGAGTTGTAGAGCCTCAGAGAGTAGCTCAAAGAGAGTAAGTCCCAGTTTCATGATGTACTTCGTGTATTCGATCAAAACTTCTCTGTAAAGTCAAAAAATGCATTCAATAAAGAAGAGATGACATTGGAAAAATCTAAGCACATTTGAACATTAGCATGATAATAAGGAAACATATAACTAGTTCATAATTTGTTCTGAGTCAAATAAGCCTACTCAATACTCCCTCCGGTCCATATTACTTATCTTTTTAAGGCTTTTGCACACCCCTTAAGAAATGTAACAGGATTTTTTATAAACTACTCTTTGTCTCTCCCTTAACATTTTGTACCTGCAAACCTCGGGAATTTCTTCGGGATCAGGGAGATTAGGAGCCATGACACAGTAAAGGGTGTCCCTCCAATTAGCTGTTGGTGATTTGAGTAGATCAAAATTACTATTGTAGGTGACCTTCCTTCGTAACATCACGTGAGTAGAACTCTTTCTTCACCTCAGAATCTTGCTCATGAAAATGGCGAACGCCTTTTAGTACTTTCTCCTTAACACTTGATGGGATTTCATGATGGACAATCTGGAAAAATCCCCAGTTTTCACAAGCATCCTTTATTTCTCGAACAATATCAGCTCGTTGAGCTGCACTATTTCCCAAGCCTTGAAAATCTACTACAGGAATGCTAAACTTACTAGTAACATCAGGGTCCAATTTCTTCTCACTCACATACTGGTTGTGTAAGAATATACGTGGTAACCTTGTCACACGGCATCTAGTAGTCCTTTTACCCCTGTCTTTGAATCATCAAAGGCATGCACTTCACTTTTTCTATCATATTCCGAACTGTCATCTAGCTCGAGTTTTTCATTTCTTGAGACAACCATTTTTCTCCTTCTAGAGGAAAACTCTGTTGTTGAGTATGAAATCAAGATTCTTTACAGACATAATAATAAAATGGGAACATAATAGAGGTACTTACACAATTGATATTATAATATAGTTTTTATGGAATCAGATTCCATCACAATGCAAAGCCAAGAAGCTCCAGGACAATGGCAGGCATACTGTATTACAGACTACTTTGGAACTGTAAGACTATAATAAGTTATGTCTTGTTCAAATAACAATAGAATTTTGAAATATTTTGTTACATTACTTTCTCTTTTAAAAAGACAGAAACATGAAGAGCACATGTTCAGTTGGTCAAAATTCTTCGGAAAATATTTTCTCTAGGTCAAAATTCTTCGGAAAATGATTTCCCTAGAAAGTAGGAAAAACAAGTTTTAGAAGTGGCATTTCACATTTGGAATAAAAGTGGACATCATCAAAGCCGGAGACACCTCAAACAAGCTAAAATGAAGATCATATCATTCGATCTAGAGACAACTCAGAAAGCTAAAAATATTGACAATGTATTACTCAAACATAAATTTCGACATTTATTTCATGTTCAAGAATCCGCTGTTCTTAATATCAATAGATGAACAACACTTGGTATTTATTTTCTTTCCAAAATACGCATGTATACACGACAGGTACAAGAATTTCTATTGAACTCACAAGCAGAAGAACACAGCTCAGAGCCTGTCACTATTTCTGCAATTTGAAATATTGTGACAATAAAGACGTTCCATCGAGCCCTTTGCTGTATAGATAAGCAACATACTCATTTCTGCTTGGTTCCCGGTACATTGGAGGGTTTTCCTCTGATAACAACTCCTTGATTGGCCCATATAGTCTGGATTCACTGCCTTCTTGAAATTGCATTCTGAAAAGACTTGCTACTGAAATTCTTGGTCCAACATTTTTAGCCAGCACTCGGTGAAGAACACTGTTGAACTTATCATTTGTGATTAACTACAAAACAGAATGCAAAATAATGAATTAATCAATCAAGTTTGTGACATTTACATAAATACATAAAAGAATTTACAATTATGAACTTGCCTGCATTAAGTCTCCAATGTTAACTATTAGAGCTCCAGGCAAGAAAGGTACATCAACCCACTTATTTTCATGAAAGACTTGAAGGCCACCTATTTGATCTTGTAATAGAATAGTCAAGAATCCGCTATCTGTGTGGCCGCTAAGGCCTAAAGTGAATTCTGGCTCAGGGCATGCCGGATTGTTAGTTTGAAGCTGATATGAGATGTTAGTTCGAAGTTGATATGAAGTTTTGATGATTTAACAAACTTATCGATCTAACAAGGAACCAGATCCTTGTTACTGGGACCGCAGACAGGGAAGTGAATGAATGATAAACTCAGTGTGAGGAATATTTGTGTGTAATCATCAAAAAGGGGGAAAATGTTATATTCTAGGTGTTTTGATGATCCTCACAAATGCAGGGACCTGGTCCCCGGCAGAGTGCTCTCGTCCAGATTCAAATGAGGTAACAGCTGTAAAGCTGTCACGTCAGGTGGTAGGTGAAAAGTGCAGTGTCCTACACCAATAGGAACAGCGGACGAGATTGTATGTTTCAGTGTCTCACAAATGCAGGGACCTGGTCCCCAGCAGAGTTCTCTCCATCATATCCATCAAATGCATAATGGGGTACAACTGTAAAGCTGTCGTGTCAGAGGTTGGTGAGGCGTCAGCGTACTACACCAATCAAAATGGAGGAGGGTGTTTGTCCAATGGGTAATAATTCTTTATGGTTGATATTTTCAACATGACAAACATCATATTAAATTCATTCATTCAAAGAAGGAAGTCAGCCAGCAAGCCTTTCAAGAACTCATAAAGAAGTTTGCAAGGGACCTGGTCCCTGCAAGACTGCGTATGTGAAAGGACGACATGACAACTGTCAGAAAAGCTGCCACATCTGATGTGGTAGGTGCACATCCTTCCAGAGAGGCAGGCTCTCAGCCAATGGGTGGTCCCAAGGAGTTTGTGTTCATTTTGATATAATCTCTTAACATAAAACACAAACTCAAGATTTGGCAAGCAAAAACTCACAAGCTAAAAAGAAGAAAGCCATCTTCAAGGAAGAACTCAAGCACAAGAACACATACAACAAGGACCTGATCAATAGAAGAAGTGCTTTCCGTACCTGTTGTTGTTCTTGATTGTTTGTATTGAGCTTAACTTGTAGGATTCACCTCACCGGGAAGAGGTTGATTCTTGTCTACGTCATCCTCTCTTCAGCTGTCTTGTTACTATTATACTGATTTCATTAAGGCAATAGATTATTCTGATTGGATTTCGAACATCATCCCTATGCCCAAGAGGGATGGACGTGTTCGCGTATGCATATATTTTTCTCAATAAAGCATGTTCCCAAAGATGACTTTCCGCTGCCGAACATTGATTTGTTTGTGGACAAGACTATTGTTAAAGTATCACTCTTGTTAGAAACGTTTCAAAGTGTTGTTTGAGTCTTTGTAAGAACATTGTTAGAGTTCACTTTGTGTCTTACGGTTAAAGTCTATATTAATCAGTGAGGGTTAGTATAGTGGGTAATGGATGCATTGCTTTGTTGAAGTCTAAGTTATCTAGAGTTACGTAGCTTAGTGGGCAGTGTGGTATCTGCTCTGGCTCATCTAAGTAATAGGAGGTATTGCTTAGAGTTGGGATTAGTAGGCTAATCTTAGTTTGTAAACTTGCTTTTGCTTTTGCTTGAAGAAGATTAGTGAAAGAAGTTTGAAAAGTCCTAGCAGGCCAGGTCGTGGTTTTACGCCCTTGAGCAAGGAGGTTTCCACGTAAAGTTGTTTGTTCACACTTTACTTTCAGCACTTATTTTACTGTCTATTATTGTAACTGTACTGAGGACCTGGTCCCATCGAAACAAGTGGACGCTTACTTTTAGTTACTATTCTTGCTTAGTCAAGGGACCTAGTCCTTGACTGATAAGTGGACGCATACATTCCAACACGGATAATAATGGCCAGCTAAGAAAAGCCCCTCTGCACATTCTATGTCTTCCAAGTGATTTGGGTTGAGTCCTAAAGCTTCAGAGAGTAGCTCATATAGAGTAAGCCCCAGTTTCATCACGTACTCCGTATATTTGATCAAAACATCTCTGTGAAGTCAAAATATTGAGTTCATAAAAACTTGATGCAACTTCTTTTAGTGAGACATATTAAAAGAAAGAATATCTTATAACAAATTAGAGCTAGGATAATAAATCTGAGATGAGGTCTGGAGAATTTAAGTTGACTACAGCGGGCGTACTAAGCTAATTAAGAAAGGTATATTAGTAGTAAGCATGATATGTACCTGCAAACCTCTGGAATTTCTTGGAGGATTAGGAGCCATGACACAGTAAAGAGTGTCCCTCCAGTTAGCTGTTGATGCTTTGTGTAGATCATAATTGGTATTGTAGGTGAACTTCCTCGTAACATCACGGAAGTAGAATTTTTTCTTCACCTCAGAATCTTGCTCATGAAAATGATGAACGCCTTCTAGTACTTTCTCCATAACACGTGATGGGATTTCATGATGGACAATCTGGAAAAATCCCCAGTTTTCACTAGCATCCTTTATTTCTCGAACTATATCAGCCTGTTGAACTGCAGTTTTTCCCAAACCTTCAAAATCTATGACTGGAATGCTCAGCTTATTAACTGCGTTGGAGTCTGATTTCTTTTCAATCACAGGCTGGTTGTGCAAGAATATACGCGGTAACTTGGTGATACCAGCATCCAGAAGTCCCTTTACACCAACCTTCGAATCATCAAAGGCTTGGACTTCACTTTTCCTATCATATTCAGAACTGTCATGTAGCTGAGTTCTGCCATTATTCGTGCCATCCATTTTACCTGCTCAGAAGGAAACCACATTTGACTATGGAAGCAAGATTTCTTACGAAACATTGTTGATATAACAGGGGTGCTTATAGGGTCATCTCAACCATAAGGCCACTAAAGCAATCGCTTGGGGCCCCAATTTTTTTGGGCCCCCATTTTCTCCAAAGATGTATATATATATTGTTAACAAAAATTTCATGTATTGATAAACTTGAAGAAAATATAATTGAGAAATTGAATATTGTTAGTTGATTGTAGTATCTTTCCTAGATTCTTATGTGGCTAGTTAATTGTAGTATCATTTCTAGTTTCGCATGTGGTTATCTATTTTATTGTCTAGCTCATTTATATTTTGACGATTATCATGAACCAACAATATTGTGTTGTTATACTTACTTCTCTTTATTCTCCTTTCACTATTTTTATTCTTTCATTATTGAATATTGTGAAGTCTCTCAAATGTTCAAACATTCTACATTATGTAAAATCTATTGTTGTGTGTTTATAAAAAGATCAAATTTGTTTTTAGTGTCTTATTCAAATTTAAAGCACTAAAACTAATCAACACTATTTTAATATTATTTATCAACTTATCAAATTCATCGCAATACTATTTTAATATCATCATATTTTTAAAAAATTTGAGTCATGTTTTATTATTTTAACTTTATATTACATAATTTTCATTGAAAATTTACATTATTTGCATTCTTACTTCATAATGTCTACATATATCATGTCTCTCCAGACCTCATTTATAGGATTACACTAAATATGCTATAATTATTCAATTTATATTTGTCAACTAAAAACAATAGGGCCTCTTTATAAAATTTGGCTTTAGGCCCCCAAACTTATTGAGACGGCCCTGGGTGCTTATGAGACAATTATCCATCAGAAATCAAAGCCAAAGACAAAATTAGGTATTCTTACACCTCATATACCAAACACTTACTTGTCCAAACTTGTTTTCCTTCAACTAATGAAATGGTTTTGGAACTATTTGAGATAACGAAGCTACATCGTGTGTTGACACCCAATTTTGGTTTAACATTCTCAAGATTCTTAATTTTTAAGTTTTATTTATTTAATAGTTCAAAATATATTTTTTATAATTTTAAATAAGTTTATCGATATTTATCCTTATTTATCAAAATTTTAGATTTTTTATCAGTTAATTTTAATTACATTACTTTTTGTCACAGTCGGTTGAATACGTTCAAATATTTATTCATTTTGATTAAATCATTATTTTGTTAAATTGCATTGTTTTACACGTCATGAGTTACGTTCACTATGTCTTTTTATATTCATTTTATTCATTGCTTTTATTAATATCAATTTTGGTGTTTTTAGCACAGATTTACAATTAAATTAGGATAATAATTATATACACATATATTTTATTTAACCAACAATTTTGTATCATAATCTAAAGCCCACAATTGAGCCCATTATAAAATTATTGCTTATATAAGTTTTGATTAAGTTAAAAAATAAATAAGGTGGTGAATTATTTTTTTAGAAAGGGGTAAGAATTTCCTAAATGACAAAAACTCTAAAATTTATTCCTATCCTCCAAAATAGCCGCCACCCAAAAAAAAAAAAAGAAGAAATCAGATCTCCCTCACACACCCATTTTACTCTTGTTCTCTTCTAACCACACCAACCACAAACGCCACCCCCGGCGAACGGCAGCCACAAGCATACCAAACCACCCCGAAACTCCAGACCATCGCGAGCTCTAAGCTCTAAAATCAGCCAACCAAACAAGAAAATAACCACCTGAAACGCCACCTTAAACCAGCCCCCTCTTCCACCAACAACCATCACCAAATCACCACAAATCGGACCCAAAACCCCAACGATTCTCCCTTTCCAGCAGACCAGCGAACTAAACCCAAAAATCCTTCGTTTTTATCCATTTTCCGGTGAAACAGTCACCGGAAACGACCCAAACTGCCTTAAAAAAATAGCCATCGCTGCTTCCTCAAACCTGACTCGAAACCACCATCATAATAGAACCAAAACGAAGCTCCAAAGTTCCGGCGAAACCATCCAAGACCAACCATGGTCATCACTGTTTCCCTTCCCCTCTTTCCCTTTATGGTCTGCTTCTGTTGTAGGTGCATTCATGAACGCCGTCAACTCCGAGCTCTAACACGCCAACAATGGTGTTGACGCCGTCGGACCACCGTTGCTTTCTCAAAATCAGTAACTCCGGTCGTCATTATTTCAGATTTAGGTCAGGTATTTTCCACTTTAGTCCCTAAATTCGTTAGATTTTGTTAAATTGATACTCTAAATTTGTGTTCATGGTTCACTGATTCATTTAGGTTAGTGTTGTTTTGAGTTTTGAGTTGTGTATGGTCATTAGTATCTCTAATTTTTTTTATGATTTTTGGGAATGTAGTTGTTATTGTTATATTTGTTCTTATCCAGTTGCATTTAATTTATTTAAATTAAGTCTCTGCATTTTTCCAAAATGTTTCCAGCAACCTTTGTTTTTTTATTTTGGTTGTTTTGTCTTTTATATTTAGTTTTGACTTGTTTAGTGATTTTTGTCAAATAAAGTTGGTAGTTGTCATTTTTATTTTTTTTGATACTTTTCATTAACAATGTAGTAAATTCATTTAGTAGAGTTTTATTCTTATTTTACTGGATCATCTCTATTGTCAATATTAATTTAACTAAGCATTTATTAATGTTTTATTGGATACATTTGTTATCATTGGATTTTAAGGACCGTATCTCACTCGTTGGTGTTGGTGCAATTGCCTGGGATTTTTCTTTTATTTTTTGATTGTTACTTTCCTATAATGTTTTGTTTGTTAAAATTGACCAATGAGAAAATCTCTCCGTCAGTTTTGGAGGCTTCTCCATTGTTAAAAGACGGAAATTTAGTTTAAGTTTATATATTTTGTATGTTAAAATGGCCGATGAAGAAATTACCGTCGATTTCCAAGGTCTTCCATGTTAATAAGACGGATTTTTATTTTAAGTTGTTATTTATTTTATTCATATTTATTTATTACTAACACTTTTACTAAGTGTCTTTACAGGTACACATGTTTGCTTCTCATTGAAGCTATTCGAATGAAGTTCGAACAACTTTCTTTATTCATTATTTTGTATTATTCACGTTAGGCAAAGCCGTTTCTTATATTATTGATTTACTTTATTATTTGTATATATTGCATGTTTGTTTTATTTGTATATTGTGTCATCTCTTCATCAATTTGAAAAAAATGAATTCAGTTGGGAACCACACTTGTGGATTTCGAAGGATTCTTAACATCTTCCCTTCGGAATCACTTGAACCCCTTACTTAGAATCTAATGGTTTCGTAGATCATTTAATTGGTTTCCTAGTTTTTCCTAAAATTAGATGGCGACTCCTTTAAAATTCTTATTTTCTTAAAATTCTTTTAAAATTGAACCAAATGTTTGTTTTTCGAGTTATCACGACGTTTCGCCCTATTTGAATAGAGTAGGAATGTAAACATTGTGTATTGAAGAGTAACTAATACTTAGCCTCAACTTAGAGAGGACCAGAGGAAATATAAGAAAATGGGATTAAAATAGTTTGGTTGTAGACTTCAACTTTCAATTGCTCTCACATCTGCTACTTTTGAACGTCATTTGTTTATTTCAGATGGCAAGTGGAGCAGTTCTATGTCACTCTTGTTAAAAATTAGATGAGTTCGATGTTTAAATTAATCAATTTGAAAGGTTACAACCTCCAAATGAACACATCAAAAAATTGAATCACATTTCTTCAAATTAAAGAAGTCATTCCTTCATATTTTAGGAAATGATGGATAAACTGCTCATTTATTTTTTTTCTAGTGCAATGATATTTGTTTGATTGCCATCGCATTGCTAACGCATAGAATATCAAATTATTCTGAGAAATCTTTAAATGTGTAGTATGAACATCGAAAACAACATTTCTAATGACCTTCAATTAACAAGCATGCATTAATAGGAGGACCAGAAAAAGCTACTTTAAATCACATTGGATGAAATGACAGCATAAGAGATGTGTGTACAAAAGGTACAAAATACTTAATCGAACTCACTAGCAGAACACAGTAACCAAGAGGCAAAGAGTAAAACACTGAAAGATGATGAAACATTTCTGCCTTTCTGCAGATCCTACCACTATTTCTGTAATTTGAAATGTGATGATAAGGAAGTTCCATCGAGCCCTTTGTTGTATAAATATGTGACATACTCTTTTCTGCTTGTTTCCCGGTACATTGGGGGGCTTTCCTCTGATAACAACCCCTTGATTGGCCCATATAGTCCTGATCCACTGCCTTCTTGAAAATTCATTATGAAAAGACTAGCCACTGAAATTCTTGGTCCTGCATTTGTTGCCAGCACTCTGTGATGAACGCTTTTGAACTTATCGTTCGTGATTAGCTACAAAACAAAATGGAAACAAATGAATTAATTGATCAAGTTTGTGACATTCATATAAATGCATCAAGATCATTTTACAATATGAACTTGCCTGCATAAGGTCTCCAATGTTCACAATTAGAGCTCCAGGTAAGAAAGGAACATCAAACCATCGATTTTCATGAAAGACTTGGAGGCCACCTACTTGATCCTGTAATAATATAGTCAAGAATCCACCATCTGTGTGACTGCTAAGGCCTAAAGTGAGATCTGGTTCAGGGCATGTCGGATAATAATGGCCAGCGAGGACAAGCCCCTTGGCGCATTCCATGTCTTTCAAGTGATTTAGATTGAGTCCTAAGGCCTCAGAGAGTAACTCAAATAGAGTATCTCCCAGATTCATCACATGTTCTGCATATTTGATCAGAACATCTCTGTAAAGTCAAAATATGTGTTCATATAAACTGGATGAGAATTTTATTAATGATGCATATTAGTTGAAAGACTACCATATCAAATTAGAGCTAGGATAATAAATTGAGATCAGAGCATGATTTATCTAAGCTAATTCAATACAATCACAAAGCATATCATTATGTTTATGAGCTATAGCTGCCTAAGGAAAGACTGATATTAGTAATCATGTTTTATACCTGCAAACCTCAGCCATTTCTCTGGGATCCGGAGGATTAGGAGCAACGACACAGGAAAGGGTGTCCCTCCAATTAGCTGCTCGTGTTTTATGTAGATCGAAATTGCTATTATAGCTGAACTTCCTTGTAACATCACGGGAGTAAAACTCTTTCTTCACCTCAGAATCCTGCTCATGAAAATGGCGAACGCCTTCTATTACTTTTTCCATGACAATTGATGGGATTTCATGGTGGACAACCTGAAAAAATCCCCACTTTTCACAAGCATCCTTTATTCCTCGTACGATATCAGCCCGTTGAGCTGCACTCTTGCCCAAGCCTTCAAAATCTATGACTGGAATGCTAAACTTTGTAACTATCTCGGAGTCCGATTTCATTTCAGCTACATACTGGTTGCGCAAGAATATACGCGGTAACCTTGTGACACCACCATCCACAAGTCCCTTTACACCAGCCTTTGAATCATCAAAGGTTTGAACTTCTCTCTCCCTATCATATTCCGAACTATCATATTGTTCAGTTCTTCCATTATTTAGGCCAATCATATCTTCCTTTCTTTAGAGAAAAAAAAAACACAACTCTTGACTATGCAATGCAAGATTTCTTGTGAAACATCACAGATATAACAAGGGTGCTTATATATTATAAGAGAGTTAATATTTTTCCTATTAACTTTTCTGCAACCAGATTCGATTGCAATGCAAAGCCAAGAAATTACAGGACAAAGGGAGATATACAAATAATAATTCAAGACTTCTTCTCTTTTGACTTAGTTCACATAATTTTTTGGCACTAATTGGATTTTGTTATATTCTGTTCAACTTGTAGCAGAGAAACCAATAGCTACTCTCCAATTTCAGAGTACAAACTTAAGCAAGGTAGCTTATGAAATATATTACTCCCTCCGTTTCAAATTTTTTCTCTTAACACGAAGCTTAAGAAAGAAAAGTAGACTTTTGAATCTTGTGGTCGTAAACTAAAGATATGTATCAAAAATGTCCTTTAATATTGTGGTCTTAATCATGTCATATGAAAAGTTAGAACTAAAATGTTGCCAAAAAAGAAAAGAGACATTTTTTTTAAAACGGATTAAAAAGGAAAGTAGGACAAACAAATTGAAACGGAAGGAGTACTAAAATAATAAGAAAAAAAGATCTACTGCTAGAATATTCCATGAAGAAGAATTGCTCTACTGATAACTTTTCCATATATGAAGCTTAAGCATAAGAATTATCTTACTATAGAACATCACAAGATAGATTATCTCATCCTACTTTCCAATGTGTTATTACATAGCTATGACTGGATCTTGTAATGCAACAATGCAGAAGTTCCATCTAGACCTTTCTCGCGGAAGTAATCAGCATAGTCTTTCACTGTGGTTGCGCGATATTTTGGAGGATTATCTTCCGATAACAATTCAGTAATCGGTCCATAAAGCTTGGAAGATGGCATTGAACCTGTGTAGAAGAAGCAAGCTACTGATATTCTTGGTCCAACTTTATTTGACAATACTCTGTGCTCAACACTTAGGTACTTGTCATTTGATATGAGCTGAAAAAACAAAAACCAGAATAAGAACAATTGGTTTTGCTAGCAAACAAAGTTTCATATTCATTTTTTCGGAAAAAGTTCCACAAGATGTGTGTCAGATCTGATACGGATACAGCAGCGGAGAGCCCGAAATGAAAGGGAAAGGTTCAAAAACTATGTTGTTCCGAGAAGATATTGAAAAAGAAAAAGAATACTAACCTGCAGAAGATCTCCAATATTCACCACAAGAGCACCAGGTGTAGGAGGAACATCAATCCACTGAGTTTTGTGAAGTACTTGGAGTCCTCCGATTTGATCTTGTAGAAGCACTGTGATAAAATCATTATCAGAATGTTTGTTGGTGCCTATAGTGAGTTCTGGCTGAGGGCATGCTGGATAATAATGTCCCAAAACGCGGAGCCCCTCCGAGCAATCAATATTATTGAGATGAGATGGATCAAGACCTAGACCCTCCGACAATAATTCAAACAAGGATTTTCCCAATGTCATGACATGATTAGAGAACTCCATTAGTATTTCCCTGCAGCAATTTCAATAAAATTGATGAAACATGACATTTCAAGAACTGAAAAAAAAAGCAACATAACATAACATACCTGCATGCTATTGGCAATTCCTCTGGACTAGGATGATTCGGAGCCATTAAACAGAAAATTGAGTCTCTCCAATTTGTAGCCGGAACAGAAGGGCTATACAAATCAAAATTACTAACATGAACCACTTTTTTGGTATTATCTCGAGTGTAATATTGTTTCTTAATATCAACATCTTGCTCAAAGAATCGTCGTGTTCCTTGCAACATTACTTCCATGACAGATAATGGAATGCCATGATTAACCACTTGGAAGAAACCCCATGTCTCCGATGCATCTCGAACTTTGTCCACAATCTGTTTATGCTTTATTGGATCTTTATTAATGCCTTCAAGATCTATCACTGGAAAAATGAACTTTGTTTCACAACTACTTACACATTCTTCTATTTTAGTTGGTTGAACGAATATCCGAGGCACTTCAGTTATTCCAGCATCAACAATTCCTTTGACACCAGCTTTAGTATCATCAAAGGCTTTTAACTCACTCATTCTGTCATAACTTCCCGGAACTCTGCCCTCAAAATCATCTGTGCTAGAGACCTTCATCATTTTTTCTCAAAATCCTCGGGCTCGTAACTCTGATGAAAAAAAACTTCAATAGTTGAGAGGATACTTCAAATCTTACCTCAAAATTGTTAGATTTGATTAAAGAGCCATATGAACAGTCAAGCATAGTTTATTGTAAAATAGAAACTAATCCATAGTTTTATAAAAACAAGGAGTCCTCATTTTTATAGTTTAAGATTTACATTGTACAATCACATGACATAGTCATTTTTTGATAAAAACGAGTTGTCCTAATTATCATAGTTTAAGACTTAGTCTGCACACAATCACATGTACAGTTGAGTATTTTTTTGTTAAAGCTCAAAATTGTAAAGAGTTGAGCATGTGCAACCTCAACAGAGGCGAAGCTAGGATTTTAACTTTATGAGCTCTGAATTTTACCATGGCGACTTTTTAAAGTAACAATAACTAAGTTCTAGATTAATATTTGTATATATTTAATGAATTTATTAACACAAATACACTATATGCTAATCAATAAGATTAATGAAGTAGCAATCAATTGGAAAGTTTGGAGTACATTATATTCTAATTCAAACGATCTAACGTAAGTTTCTTTTTTTAAATTTCTATCTTACCTTTAAACAAAAAGTGATAAAATATAGCTAGACATAATTTCAAAAAAGTGATACAGAATTTGTAATAATTGTCATAAGATACACGTACAACACACATGTTCAGAGACTAGTTAAATAAGTAGCAAAGGAAAAATGAGAAGAAAAAAGAAGGTAATGGATAATGACGTGAGCACACCAAATTGTATGTCATGTTACATAAAATGGGACATTTGGTCATCATATAACGATGATTACACAATGCAATACAACAAAACTTAAGTAACAATTCAAACAAACATTGTATTTAAAGTAACAATATGATACAATACAATAGGTAATAACCATCCAAACAAGCATCGAAAGTAAAGTTCTCAGTTCTTATCATAAATTGAACTGTTACATTAAGATTAGATCCTGTAATGCAACAATGTAGAAGTTCCATCTAGGCCTTTTTTACGGAAGTAGTCACGGTAGTCTTTCACTGTGGTTGCGCGATATTTTGGAGGATTATCTTCCGATAACAATTCAGTAATCGGTCCATAAAGCTTGGAAGATGGCATTGAACCTGTGTAGAAGAAGCATGCTACTGATATTCTTGGTCCAACTTTATTTGCCAATACTCTGTGCTCAACACTTATGTACTTGTCATTTGATATAAGCTGAAAAAAGCAACAAAAAAATTAAGCAAATGATATCAGTGCCTCTTATTGATCGTAGTCGTATATGGTATAGAAAAACAAAGAATACTAGCCTGCAGAAGATCTCCGATGTTCACAACAAGAGCACCAGGTGTAGGAGGAACATCAACCCACTGATTCTGGTGAAGCACTTGAAGTCCTCCGATATGATCTTGTATAAGAACTGTGATAAAATCATTGTCAGAATGTTTGTTGGTGCCTATCGCGAGTTCTGGCTGAGGGCATGCTGGATAGTAATGTCCCAAAATACCTAGCCCCTCCGCACAATCCATATCTTTGAGATGGCAACGATCAAGACCAAGACCTTCTGATAATAATTCAAGTAAGGAGAAGCCTAATTTCATCACATCCTTAGAGTACTCCATTAGTATTTCTCTGCAGTAATTTCAAGTAAAATTGATGAAATGTCACATATCGATATTTTGAAAAAATAAAGTATACTCAATTGGCTCAAATAAAGGACCAGACTTCTAGTTGAATTACTTAGTTCTCCAACAAAATCCACCAGAACTCACACTAATCATAATCAGTTGCAAGATAGCGCGTAACAATAACAACATAAGTCATGGTTTATTATTGATTTTTGTTACAAATGAAGCTGGTTGGTTTTCTAATTCATGTTCAGAAACCCCAAAACATCTCGATCCAAATCTTCAGACAAGTGAGGCTTTCTCAAGTAGTTGACCACCTTCACCATCAACCGATAGGTTGAGGGTTCGAGTCACACTAGAAAGTAAGTGGAAGCACTACTGATCCTCCCTTGGGGTGGGAAGGAGAAAATAGAAAAAAAAAGTTCATTTTCAGAACATTTACGTACCCGCATGCTGTTGGCAATTCTTGTGGACTGGGAGGATCAGGAGCCATTAAACAGAAAAGTGTGTCTCTCCAATTTGCAGCTGGAACAGAAGGGCTATACAAATCAAAATTGCTAGTATGAATCACTCTTTTCGTACTATCTCTACTGTAATGCTGTTTCTTAATCTCGACATCTTGCTCAAAAAACTGCCGTGTTCCTTGCAGCATTTCTTCCAGGACGGATGTTGGAATCCCATGATTCACCACTTGGAAGAAACCCCATGTCTCCGATGCATCTCGAACTTTGTCCGCGATCTCTTTATGCTTGATTGAGTCCTCGTCGATGCCTTCAAGATCTATCACAGGGAAAATGAATTGTGTTTCATTTGTATCCGATAACTCCGGCCTGTTTTTTGGTGGTAGAATGAATATTTGAGGTATTTTAGTGATTCCAGCATCAACAAGCCCTTTGACACCAGCCTTAGTATCATCAAAGGCTTTTAATTCACTCATTTTGTCATAACTTTTCTCCACTGTGACCTGAAAATCATCAGTGCTAGAGAGTACCATCTTCTTTGTTAGAATGTTATGAACAAGAGTTCCTGAGGCCACTTAGTACCTAATGGACATGATATTATCATATTTTTATATTAAAAGTGGGAAGGTCCAACGTAAAAAAGTTGAAAGACCAAAATGTCCATATAAAATTGAATGACCATTTTACCCTTCAATCAAACACTACTACTATTAACACTCATGTATTGATAATTTTCAGAATAGTGAATGTCACTTACTTGTGGTCTGGCCCTTCTCGAGACCCTACACATTGCGAGAGCTTAGTGCACCGAAGCTACTCCTTTTTTACTCAGGTTTCCTCATTTAGTGCTCAATGAGCCATTAATTTAGACTTTTGGGCAATGGTTAGAGTTATTGTCAAAGAGCCCACTAGCATACATGCATCTTAGCATTAATTTCCTAGATGAATTCATATAATTGGAATGAATCTAATTTACTTTTTGAACAAGAGCCATTAATTTAGACTTTTGGACCACAATTGTCACCATCAACAGTTCTTACCAACAGAAAACAAAAGAAATGAGTTAATTATTTTTAGTCCCTTTCTTTGGTTACTGTCTGAATCCACTGTCCCGCCCCACCACTACCACCACGATGAAAAAAGAAGAAGAGAAGAATATGTGGATATCAGATGAGTCTGCTCTTTGTGTTTGAACTCACTCTGAGCCTGCTCTTTGTGTCTCAACATGTTCCAGGCACTGTTAACTTTTGAATTTCCCTATGCTTGTAGTCATCCACCATGGTCTGACCAATGGATACTATATGATGTAATGCTCCCCGCTTTGTCCAATTTTCATACCATACATTTGAAGTTCCTCCATTTATTTTCCACCATATCTCATGTTCCACAACTTCTCTAGCTTCTAACATCTTTTTCCAAACTTGTGATTAACCCTTTCACTATTTTAAGGTAGGAATTACCTTTCTACAGTACTTATTCCATATATAATTTGGACCATAAAGTTATTTGCATTAGTTATACATCGGAAGAAAAAGTGTACGAAACAAGACAACTCTACCTACTACTTAGGAGGAGCAAGTACTAATAAGAGATGAATCGACATACTTTGTAAGACACTTTTAATCAAGGAGCTACCTACATTTTTATGCATGTTACAGGAGTTCTCCTTGTTGATTAGCTGTCCTGATGTCTGCTCAAATCTTCTCAAAACTATCATTACGCTCTTTAGGGACTCAGTGTCAACAGAAGTAAAAATAACGGTATCATCAGCATAAGCCAAATGGTTCAGTGGATTACAAGGGTCAGCTAGAACATTTACCCGCAATTTAGACGAGATGATTACAAACAGATGGCTAGGACTGAGATGCAGACCCTTTGACATGAGTCTGAATTCATTAGAAGGGTAATTTTTAGACAAGAGGAAGGGAGAAAATAACATTTTGTAAGTATGAAATACATTCTATCAGTCATAAACCTTCTGCGCCACACTATAGTGTGAGTCTTATCAGTCATGAGTACGATCTTGCAAAGATCATAATAGTTCATGTTTCAACATCTATGAAACTTCAGCTTAAGATACATTCAATTGCTACATTACTATGATGAGATATTGAAATGCAAGATGTTGAGGATTTCTCAAGATGAGGAAAGACAAGAGGAAGAGAACATTTAGATATTTGGTCATACCTAAATGGTGGTTAGAGTACTTATTGTCGATGAGACACGCTGGCATGCACACGTCTTAGAATAAATTACCTAAGACATGAACTAGGTAAATTCATGTACTAGGAAAGAATCTAGTTTACTTTTTCAAAACAAGAGCCATTAATTTAGACCACAATAGTCACCATCAACAGTTCATACCAACTAACTATCTATTTGAAGCCTAATAAAGCACAAGAAAGGAGTTATCATTTTTAATGCCTTAAAGGATAAAGATATCAGATAATATCAAGAATCGTCATATGGTAACATGCTGAACTGAATCGAGAATAGAAATAGAGGAACTCCAGAATCTTTTTATTAAAACAAAGTATATGAAAAGCTGCAAGTATATATTAGCAATCATCCATGGCTAGTATATAGAAAGTTTAACAGAGAAATTTTATCAGAAATATTTCAAGTACTGAACTATGTGTAAATTAGAAATCCATTTATCAACATTTATGGAACTTTAATTACAGCATGTTTTATTTGCTAATTGTATATCACAAGTTCAATTCTTTATTCTAATATGCATTTTGCTATGAATTTCTCCATTTCTATGACAGGAACTTGTAATGCAGCAATGCAAGAGTTCTGTCAAGGCCTTTCTCGCGAAAGTATGTTTGTTCACTGTGGTCACACATACACACACGTCACTCTATATTACGAAGAAATAAAAGCGAGACAGATAGAACAAAAAGGAATTATTTGATCCAAAGCTGCATGTGGTAATTGACAATCATTTATTTGCTAACAAGAATAGAAACTATAACAGACATAAAACTTTGTCAGACTGATCAGTCACGAGGATGATCTTGCAAAGATCATACTAGTTCATACACCCCAAGTTTGAGAATGCACCTCCTTAAAGGTGTCTAGATGTTATTTAAAAAGTTAAAGGTGTTCGCGAGACGCACCAGTCACACTGAAAGTTTGGGTGTTCAATTGCCAGTGGAGGCCAAGTTAAAGTGTCCATCTATATATTAATTATGCCTTTCAAACATCTATGAAGCTTCAGCAACATACACCAAAAGTTAAATTCTCGGTATACTCATCATACATTCAACTGCTATACTACTATGTTAGATCTTCAAATGCAACAATGCAGAAGTTCCATCTAAACCCTTTTTACGGAAGTAATCACTGAAGGCGTTCACTGTGGTTGCACAATACTTCGGAGGATTATCTTCTGACAACAGTTCAGCAATTGGTCCATACAACTTGGAAGATGGTAATGGACCTGTACTGAAGAAGCATGCAACTGATATTCTTGGTCCAACTTTATTTGACAATACTCTGTGCTCAACACTCAAGTACTTATCATTTGATATAAGCTGAAAATGCAGCAAAAATAAAGCATATTTGGTTTCAGTATCGAAAAAAGGTGTTATGTTCATTCTTACCGATTAGGAAATGAAAAAGAATACTAGCCTGCAGAAGATCTCCAATGTTTACCACAATAGCACCAGGTGTAGGAGGAACATCAACCCACTGATTCTGGTGAAGCACTTGGAGTCCTCCGATATCATCTTGTAGAAGCACTGTGATAAAATCATTGTCAGAATGTTTATTGGTGCCTATGGTGAGTTCTGGCTGAGGGCATGGTGGATAGTAATGGCCCACAACACCGAGCCCCTCTGCGCAATCCATATCTTCGAGATGACAACGATCAAGACCGAGACCTTCTGACAATAATCCAAGCAAGGAACAGCCCAGTTCCATCACATGCTTAGAGTAGTCCATTAGTATTCCTCTGCAGCAATTTCATAAAATTAATGAAACAGTACTTATTAATATTTAAAAGAGAAATGCTATGCTTGATTGGCTCTCAGGGACCAGACTTCTAGTTAAATTTTCTAATACAGTATCCATCTAAACTTGCATCAAGCTAAAATCATTTGCAAGGAAACAAATAACTATGACAGCATTTTCATGGTTTATTCTTGAGTTTTATCACAATATAATACATATTCAATTACTAGGTAAATAAATGAAATTGGTTGTTCGCTTATTCATATTCAGAACACATACCTACATGGTCTTGGAAATTCTTCTGGACTGGGAGGATTGGGAGCCATTGAAAAGAACAAGGAGTCTCTCCAATTTGCAGCTGGAACAGAAGGGCTATACAAATCAAAATTGCTAGTGTGAACCACCTTTTTCGTGATATCTCGAGTGTAATACTGTTTCTTAACCTCGATATCTTGCTCAAAAAACTCACGTGTTCCTTGCAGCATTGCTTCCAGGACAGATGTTGGAATACCATGATTTACCACTTGGAAGAAACCCCATGTCTCCGATGCATCTCTAACTTTGTCCACAATCTCTTTATGCTTGATTGGGTCCTCGTCAATACCTTCAAGGTCTATCACTGGGAAAATGAACTGTTTTTCACTTGTATCCAAGGACTCCGGCCTGTTTTTTGGTGGTAGAATGAATATTTGAGGTACTTTAGTGATTCCAGCATCAACAAGCCCTTTGACACCTGCCTTAGTATCATCAAAGGCTTTTAACTCACTCATTTTGTCATAACTTTTTTGAACTGTGGCCTGAAAATCATCAGTGCTAGAGACTACCATCTTCTTTGCTAGGATGTTATAAACAATAGAGTTCCTAAGGTTCTTAGAACTTAATGGGCCGCGCACGATATTATAAATACTACTCTCTATGCAAAGCACTATCTTCCTATCCACAAAAAAGAAGAGGCCATAAACAAGTAGACCTTCATGATAAGCTTTAACTTGTTTTAGTCCCTTTCACTGGTCATTGTCTGAACCCACTGTCACTCTTCACCACACACATATCCCAAAAATAGAAGGTAGACAAGCAGAACAAAACAAAGCATGCATCATTCTTATATAATCGTGTTAAAAAAAAATTAGCCGTAGGAATAATATCCACGACAAATAACAAGAAAAAGAGAGTAACAAGGTACCAAGTCCTTTTAGCGCTGAAAACATAATACCCGAGTACAGCAACATATTGCCACTATAGTGAGAAATTTAATACTTTGTAATCTCAAAAGACTACTACAAATTTAAAAGAATTAACCTTCTTTTATTTCACACACCTTTCTATAATACTACTCTCCCGTTCTGTTTCCTCACACTGTATGTATGGATTACTCCCTCTGTTTGATATTGCTTCTCACTATCTTTTCGGTATGTTCTGAAGTGAAAGAACTCCTCGGAGAAAAAATTAAAGCCAAAGCACATAAAAGAAAATGGACTACATAAATTTTCCATCACATATTGATACAGGTCATGTTTCACCATCTATGAAGCTTCAGCATAAGATACATCAAAAGTTAAAGTCTCAGTTTTCATCATATATTCAATCGTTACACTACTATGATTAGATCTTGTAATGCAACAGTGCAGAAGTTCCATCTAGACCCTTTTTACTGAAATAACCAGTGTAGTCGTTCACTGTGGTCACACGATATTTTGGAGGATTATCTTCTGACAACAATTCAGTAATTGGTCCATAAAAATTGGAAGATGGCAATGGACCTGTACCAAAGAAGCATGCAACTGATATTCTTGAACTTAGTTTATTTGTCAATACTCTGTGTTCAACACTTATGTACTTGTCATTTGATATGAGCTGAAACAAAAGCAACAACAATTAGCACAACGTAACTAGTAATCTGTACCAAATAATATGTTATATTCATTCATATAGAGTAGATATAATATTCATAAAGGAAAACAATACTAGCCTGTAGAAGATCTCCAATGTTCACGACAATAGCACCAGGCGTAGGAGGAACATCAACCCACTGATTCTGGTGAAGCACTTGAAGTCCTCCGATATGATCTTGTAGAAGCACGGTGATAAAACCATTGTCAGAATGCTTACTGGTGCCCATGGTGAGTTCTGGCTGAGGACATGCTGGATAGTAATGGCCCAAAACAGCGAGTCCCTCAGCGCAACCGATATCATTGAGATGAGATGGATTGAGACCTAGACCCTCGGACAATAATTCAAACACAGATTTTCCCAATTTCATGATATGATCAGAGAACTCTATTAGTATTTCCCTACAGAAATTTCAGTAAACTCGTGAAACAGTGGTTATCATAAAACTGATAGAAAATCCAGTTTTCTAATTTTTCCTAACAATATCCACCAAAATTATTGTAAAGATATGACACCTGGACATAACTACCGACATTAGCATGACTTATTCTTGATTTTTGTCACAACATAATACATATTTAGTTACTAGGTAAAAAAATTAAGTTTGTTATTTTGCTAATTAATGTTTAGAACATACCTGCATGCTGCTGGAAATTCTTCTGGACTAGGAGGATTAGGAGCCATTAAACAGGAAAGTGTGTCTCTCCAATTTGCAGCTGGAACAGAAGGGCTATACAAATCAAAATTGCAAGAATGAACCACCTTTTTCGTGATATCTCGAGTGTAATACTGATTCTTAACCTCAATATCTTGCTCAAAAAACCTTCGTGTTCCTTGTAACATTTCTTCCAGGACAGATACTGGAATGCCATGATTAACCACTTGGAAGAAACCCCATGTTTCTGACGCATCTCGAACTTTGTCCACAATCTCTTTATGCTTGATTGGATCCTTAGAAATGCCTTCAAGGTCTATCACTGGAAAAATGAACTGTGTTTCACATGTATCCGAGGACTTGATAGCTGAATTGCAGGAGTTAATTACAACTCGAGGATTCAAAGGCTATTTCAGGATCCTATCGGAGAGGTTTCGAGAAAATAACCACAGATTATGGAAGAGAAGAAATGATTGAAGAAGATTGAATGTAGACAAACAACATGTATCTATTCATGTATTTACAATGACTTGTACAAGTATTTATAGTTGCATACATTGAAAGAGATTGAGTTAAATCTGTTGCTAACTGATTTCCTGAAGCTAACTAAATTCCTGACTGTGTACTGTTCTTAACTGTTTTTCCCGCTAAAATGTATAACTACTTTTGCTGACTCATCTAATCTGGAAATCTACTAACAGTACTCCCCCCCGCAAAGAGATCCTTGTCCTCAAGGATCAAAAGATGGAAATCTGGTCTTAAGGATGTTCGAGTACTCCCAAGTAGCAGCGTCTGCCGACAAATCTTTCCACTTAACCAAGACTTGCGTCACTGCCTTATTACCCTTCTTAACCATCCTTCGCTGCAATATAGCTTCAGGGTCTGAACAATGGGGATTTGCTAAATCAGTGGTTGGTGGATAGGTTACCAGGGAAGGAACTTCATAACACTTCTTTAAGAGGGACACATGTACTGTTGGATGAATCTTCACAGAATCTGGAAAGAGCAAAGTATATGCTACTGGACCAACCTTTCGAATAATCTGGAATGGGCCATAGTATTTAGCAGCGAGCTTGTGATGAGGAGTCTCGGATATAGTCACTTGTCTGTAAGGCCTGACCTTGAAGTATACCCAATCACCAACTGCAAAACTTCTGTCACTTCTATGTTTATCAGCTTGTTGTTTCATCCTCAACTGAGCGCGTATCAAATGATGCCTCAACAATTGTAGTTTCAGTTCTCTATTGATGAGGGTATTATCCACCTCAGCAGATGAGGACTCCCCTGGCAGGTAAGGTAAATGCAATGGAGGAGGTCTGCCATAAAGTGCTTCATAAGGAGTTAACTCAATAGCAGAGTGATGGCAAGTATTGTACCAAAACTCTGCCATCGGTAGGCAGTCATACCACCCTTTAGCATCTTCCGCACAAAAACATCTCAGATAGGTCTCCAAGCACCTATTAAGAACTTCAGTTTGACCATCACTCTGCGGATGATATGCTGAAGATAGATTCAACTGAACACCTTGTAATGAAAATAATTCCTGCCAGAATGTACTGAGAAACACAGCATCCCTGTCACTAGTGATATTATCGGGTAGACCATGAAGTCTGACTATGACATCCATGAAAACCTTAGCTACCGACTGAGCTGTATAGGGATGTTTAAGAGGAATAAAATGGCCATACTTGCTAAGCCTGTCAACTACCACTAGTATGACTTCATAGCCATGGGATTTTGGTAAACCATCAATGAAATCCATGCTGATTTGAGACCACACTACCTCAGGGATTGGTAAGGGTTGTAAAAGACCAGGAGAAGCTGCTAGATCAGCTTTACTTCTCTGGCACACATCACACTTTTGCACAAACACTTTAACATCCTGTCGCATTCCCTTCCAATAGAAGAGTGTAAGTAACCTCTTCAATGTAGCCTCAATCCCGGAATGGCCCCCTTGGGGTGTAGCATGCCACAAAGTGATGATATCTTGCCTTAGTTGTCCCACCTTGCCAACAACTAATCTGCCTTTCCTCCTCAATTTGTTTTGATACCAAGTGAACTGTGAATGAGTATGTGGGTCAGCTTGCAACCTCTCAATCAGTCCTTTTAGTTCAATATCTACTGTCCAACTATATTCAATAGCTTGCAACAATTCAGAGTCATTATTGGAAATAATCAAAGCCAGGAGTTCTGCACCAGAAACCCTTGAAAGTGCATCAGCAGCCTTATTTTCAATCCCTGCCTTGTACTCAATGGTATAATCAAAAGGCATTAACTTGGTCAACCACATAAGTTGGGAATTGGTGTGCAATTTTTGTTCCATTAAGAACTTCAGAGCTCTCTGATCAGTTCTGATAATGAACCTTTGCCCAAGCAAATACTGAGACCATTTAGAAACGGCATGTACAATAGCTAGTAATTCCCTATCATAGACAGACATGGCTGCATGTCTTGGCGAAAGAGTCTTGCTGATAAAGGCAATAGGATGACCTTGTTGCATCAACACCGCTCCAATGCCATACCCACTAGCATCTGTTTCAACCACAAATGTTTTGTTTGCATCAGGTAAGGCGAGGACAGGAGTCCTAGTTAAAGCTTCCTTCAGTTGTTCGAACGCTTCAGTAGCAGCTGGTGACCATTTGAAACTATCCTTCTTCAAAAGATCAGTTAGTGGTTTACTGATGATGCCAAACCCTTGTATGAATCTCCTGTAATAACCCGCCAATCCAATGAAGCCTCTTAATTGCTTGATAGTAGTTGGTACTGGCCAATTTTGAACAGCAAGTATTTTTGCAGGATCAGTGGATACTCCTTCCCTGGTAATGAAATGGCCCAGATATTCAATTCGATCCACTCCAAAGAAACATTTGCTTTCCTTGGCTAGTAAGTGATGATCCTTCATTGCAGCAAACACGTTTCTCAGGTGCAACAGATGATCTTCAATAGACTGACTATAGATCAGAATATCATCAAAAAAAACTAGGACAGACTTTCTCAAAAACTTTCGAAACACAGTGTTCATCAACCCTTGAAATGTTGCTGGTGCATTAGATAATCCAAATGGCATTACCAAATACTCAAAGTGCCCCGAGTGAGTTCGAAATGCTGTTTTTGGTATGTCTTTTTTGGCCATCCTCAACTGATGGTACCCAGCCCTAAGATCTATTTTGGAGAAGATTACTGAACCCCCAAGTTCATCCAAAAGATCTTCTACCAAAGGTATAGGGAATTTGTTCTTAACAGTGTGCTTGTTAAGATCACTATAATCTACACATAGCCTCCATGAGCCATCCTTCTTGCCAACCAACACCAAAGGTGAGGCAAATGGACAACTACTAGGCTAAACAATCCCCTGATCTAACATTTGTTGCACAAGTTCTTCAATGATGTCCTTTTTAACAGAAGGATATCTATAGGGTCTTTTATTAACAGGTTCTGTTCCCGATTGTAACACAATCTTATGATCATAAATCCCCCTAGATGGTGGTAATCCTGTAGGTTCAGCAAATAATTCTCTATAATCTTTCAATAGACTCACTATTCTAGGATCCTTGTCAATGTTGTCTTTAGTTTCTAACGCAAGTAGTTCAGCACTCATGTGAGAAGTACTTGTATCATACATAATTGTAGATTGATTACCTGTTAACTTCCCAAGTTTTCCAGCTCCAACACACGTAATTTGTTTGCCTGCACCCCTTAGTAAGTGTTTTCTGCCATTATACCAAAACTCCATAGTGAGTTTGCTGAAATTCATCTTGATATCACCTAGAGTCAGTAGCCATTGAACTCCTAGTACCACCCCACAATTTCCCAATGGAAGTAACAAAAATTCGGCTGCAAACTCTGCTCCTTGTAACAACCAAGAAAATTTGCACGACTTATCCACCTTCATAGTACCATTGGCTGCAGCAACTAACTGAGGCATAGTTTGTGTGACTTGACACCCTAATTGTTCAACCAATGATGGATCAATGAAGTTGTGGGAACTCCCAGTGTCCACCAAAATGTGTAATGGCTGTTTGGAGTGATATCCAGTGACCCTCAAGGTCCTATACCCTAATGAACCATTCAAAGCATGGATGGATATCTCCATCTGTTCAATGCCTTGTTGCATCTCCAATTCTTGATTCACCTCCTCATTTTGCTCTTCTTCCTCACAATATTTCTCTCCATCTGTTTCTTCTAATTCCAGAATGTAAAGCTGCTTCAAGTTTCTACACTTGTGACCCATAACATATTTTTCATCACAAAAGAAGCAAAGGCCTTTTGCTCTTTTCTCATTCATTTCCTCTGGGCTTAACTATCTTCTTTGAAACCCTTTATGTATTGGTGCTCCCCCTCTACCAGGAGTTGGTAAGAGTGGCTTATTCGGAACCCTCTGATCTACTCCCCTTCTTGTTGAATTTCCATTGTAGTTTGAATATAATGAAGAATGAGGTTGCTTAATAGCAGAAAGGAATACTTCTTGCATCCTAGCACTTTTATAAACTTGAGATAATGTTGTAGGGTTTGTGATTTTGACAGCAATATTCAGCTCTGGTTTCAATCCTCCCAAAAACAACTGATCGCATTCTCCTGAGATAAGTTCACCCTAGTCAAATTCTTCTCAAAGATCGCTTGATAATCCTTCACACTGCCCACCTGTTTCACTTTTTTGATTTCCTCCATGGGATCATCAAAGTCAGTACCAAACCTTTCTACTAATGCCATCACATAATCATTCCAAGTGGCCGGCTGCAGATACTGCCTGTATCTCATGAACGATAGATGCCACTGAATGGCTTCCCCCTCCAATTGCAGAGCAGCCACCCCAATTTTTTCTTCAGCAAGAACATTCTCCATAGAAAAGAATTGTTCAATTTTGAACAACCATGATCTAAGATCCTCCCCATTAAACCTCAAGAATTCCATTCTTGACCATCGAGTGAAATTCGACTGGTTAGAATGGTAACTATTACCACTGTTAGGGCTTCGTCCCCTGTTTCTGTGGATTCTTTCTTCTGACTGAACTTTTCCGGTAGGTCCCTCCTCAGTTTCCAATGGTGTCTTGTCCCTTCGATTCTCCCCAGATGCTGCAAATTGGTTCTGCAACTCAATCACTGTTTGATCTAACTTTTCCAGAGAAGAAATTTTACCTGCTAAAGCTCCAACCTCTGTTATCAAATTCTGCATCATATCACGCAAATCCCCTACTTCTGAAGTTGAAGGTTCATTGATTGGGTCTCCACTTGCTCTTGTCCCTTTCGCCATTGATGCCAAGGAATCGTATGGCTCTAATAGCTGAATTGCAGGAGTTAATTACAACTCGAGGATTCAAAGGCTATTTCAGGATCCTATCGGAGAGGTTTCGAGAAAATAACCACAGATTATGGAAGAGAAGAAATGATTGAAGAAGATTGAATGTAGACAAACAACATGTATCTATTCATGTATTTACAATGACTTGTACAAGTATTTATAGTTGCATACATTGAAAGAGATTGAGTTAAATCTGTTGCTAACTGATTTCCTGAAGCTAACTAAATTCCTGTGTATTGTTCTTAACTGTTTTTCCCGCTAAAATGTATAACTACTTTTGCTGACTCATCTAATCTGGAAATCTACTAACAGGACTCCAGTCTGTCTTTTGGTGGTAGCATGAATATTCGAGGCACCTTAGTGATTCCAGCATCAACAAGTCCTTTGATACCTGCCTTTGTATCATCAAAGGCTTTTAACTCACTCATTTTGTCATAACTTTTCTGAATTGTGGTCTGAAAATCATCGGTGCTAGAGATTGCCATCTTCTTTGCTAGAGTGTTGTAAACAAGTAGAATACCTGAGGTTCTTAGAAACTCATAAGCTGCACAGGATACTAAAAGTACTACTCACTATGCAAAACATATATAATCTTCTCCATCCGGCAATAATAGAGGCTGTAGACTAGGAAATAGTCATGATAAAATTTAAAGGGCTAATTAATTTTTACTTCAAAAAAGAAGATTTGTCAAACTGAGGACCACGGAGGAAGAGAACATTTGGATATCTCTTCTTACCACATAATGATTAGAGTTGATTTGTCAAGGAGCTACTAACTTAGACTCCTGGATACTTGTAATTTTGACCACAAAACAGAGAAGTTAAATTACTTTTTAGTCCTTATGAGGATATTAGAAGATATAGTGGTAGCTTATGTAAGGTAGATAAGCCAAAGAAAACAAATTGTGGTCATGGAACTAGTTCCCATTGATAGTATACACAACACGTTAATGACTACGAATAACCAAAATATTCAAGAATACAGGCTATAGCACGTGTGACTAAATGAGTTTGTTTTCTTAAAACATTGAATATGAAATTAAAGGCATCCTTTGCACTTTTGTCACCATGACTAACACTGAGAAATGAGAATCATCAAATGGTGACATGCTGAATTCAATCTCGAAAGAAATAGATGGAATCCAATATCAGGCGATCATCAAAGCCTGATGTGAATTCCACTTGCTACAGACTATCTTATTAGCTAATTGCACATCACATGTTCAATTTCACAGCTCTGATATGCATTACACTAAATTACTCCAATTTTAGGACAGGATCTTGTAATCCAGCAGTGTAGAAGTTCCATCAAAGCCTTTCTTGCGGAAGTAGTCAGTATATTCCTTCACTGTGGTTGCACGATACTTTGGCGGATTACATTCTGATGACAATTCCTTAATTGGTCCATAAATCCTTGGAGAGGGAAATGCACCAGTGCTGAAGAAACATGGCACTGATATTCTTGGACCTACTTTGTTTGACAATACTCTGTGCTCAACACTTATATACTTGTCATTTGATATGAGCTGAAATCAAACAAAGTTAAAGCAAATTTTTATCTCAGTACCAAAACACACTATATGATTTAGATTATCAGTCCAATTAAGAATGTGAGTTCAATTGTGTGACCGTTTTATCTAACAGTTTAAGCTTTTAGATGAGCTTTCACATGATATGATCACACAATTCAACATCTCACTGCCACCAATTATGAAAAAAGAACACAAGCTTGGCTTAATCAAGATCGCACACGAGAGGGCATGTTGAAGATATAGTTAAGTAAATAAAAGTACAACTCTCTCTCACAGCTTAAGTTTTTAGGAAACGAATGCTAACCTGTAACAGATCTCCAATATTTACTACTAGAGCACCAGGTGTAGGAGGAACATCAATCCACTGATTTTGGTGACGGACTTGGAGACCTCCTATATCATCTTGTAGAAGCACTGTGATAAAAACACAGTCCGAATGCTGTCTGGTGCCTATGGTGAGTTCTGGCTGAGGACATGCTGGATAGTAATGTTGGGCAATTGATAGCCCCTCAGCACAGTTCATATCTTTAAGATGACAAGGATTGAGACCAAGACCCTCGGACAATAATTCGAATAATGAGTAGCCCAATTTCATCATCTTCTTAGAGAATTCAATCAAAATCTCCCTGCAGATTTTGGTAATAAAAATTTAAAGCTGCAGAATGCCAATTAGTCTGCTCAATTGGCTATCAGAAGCTTGACTTCCTGTTAAATTTGTTATTTTAACAAATCTATTTTTTGTTACCAACACTTTGTCATGAAGTAATTAAACACTCCAACTCGTCCCCACTATGTACGCTGAAGTGACACATAAATTCTGGAGGTGTCTAGATGATCATTTTTTTAAGTTGGAGTATTCAACTAACACAGTGAAGACGAGTATAGGTGTTTAGACATGCATACTCAATGTTGAAGTGTTTACTTATCGGCCAAGTTAGAACATACCTGCATGCTGTTGGAAATTCCTCTGGACTAGGAGGATTAGGACACATAAAGCAGTAAAGTGAGTCTCTCCAGCTTGCTGCTGGAACAGAGGGGCTAAACAAATCAAAATTGCTAACATGTGCTACTTTCTTCGTAGTATCTCGAGTATAATATTGTTTCTTTATCTCCACATCTTGCTCGAAAAATCTTCGTGCTCCTTGCAACATTTCTTCAAGGACAGGTAATGGAATGCCATGATTGACCACTTGAAAAAATCCCCATGTCTCCGATGCATCTCGAACTTTGTCAACAATCTCTTTATGCCTCATTGGATTATCAATGCCTTCAAGATCTATTACTGGAAAAACAAACTCCTTCTCAGTAAAGCCTGAGGAGTCATGTATGCTTTCTCGTGGATGAACGAATATCCGAGGCACTTCAGTACTATTTCCAGCATCAACAAGCCCTTTGACACCAGCTTTTGTGTCATCAAAGGCTTTTAATTCACTATGTTTATCATAATTTGGTTGTAATGTAGCCTGAAATTCTTCATCTCTGGAGAAAACCATCTTCTCTTCTACTTTTTCCATATTATTGTAAATACAAAGTTACTTACTTCACTTATGAGATTATAAGAATGGATGGACAAAATTTGAATGTCAGTATGATGGCGGAGTCAAAATTTTCACTAAGAGCTTCAGAATATGAAGAAGTAAATACAAGAAGAAGTCGAAAGAAATTCAACAGCTATTCCGCCCCCTATCTTGGGGGAATTATGTCCACTCTTTTGGAAGATAAGGACACATCATCCAGCTGGAAAACACCTCAATAAAGCTAAGATAAGTTTTTATTAAAAAAATATAAGAATGTACATTTATAAAAAAAATAAAAAGGACCAATACTTCTTTTTTTGTGTTTCTTTGGCTCCAATTATTGAGATGTGGAATAAGAAATTAATAAATTCTTCTAAAAATAAAGAAACCTCTTATTTCTTTATGCTTCCTCGGATGTTTTTGGAATAATTTTTTTTTGTGTTTATTTATTAAATACTAAAAAATAAGTAAGGAACACACTTTATTATTTAAGAAAATATTTTCCTTCATACTAAACACATGGTAAATAAACAGCAAATATAGTTCTCCCTTCGTCCTAGTTTATGTGCTACCGTTTGACTTAACACAAAGTTTAACGAAAAAAGAAAGACTTTTAAAAAGCTTGATTTAAAATAAATCTTAGACATTTGTATGGTATAAATCATCTCAGAAGATAAGAAGGAAATTTTAAAATTAAATTATTTCTAATTAAAGAAAAATGACATTTATTCAAATAAACTAAAAAAAATTATGTACGTTAATAAGACATAAGGAGCATTATTTTGTGTTTTGATTGTTTTCAGTTTTTTTTTTTTAATAAAAAGTTAGGTGTTTGGACAAGGGAAAAAATAGGAAACAATTAATTTCTTAGCCAAATTAGACATTTTCCACAAAACTTGTGCATTGAGAGAATGAGATGATTTTGTAAATATCATTTCTTCTTTCTATCGTTCAAGTTTTTTCAATTTCAAATGAAATTTGATTACATGCCCTCTTTGATGTGGTGAGTTACATTCTTGATATAAGATTGCCAACTTAGACTATGGCCAAATTCAAGGAAAAAATAAAGGTTTTGACTGATAGCAAAGTTCATAGCCTAATTATTTGTTATGTTGCATGTATAGCATGGAAATTTGTTTATGTATTTAGTATTTTGGCATTTTAATTTATTTTAGTTTTAATATTTTTTTTCCTGATGAATTTTTGGTTACTTGATTTATTTAGACTAATTTTAGATACTTACCTAAAAGGGGTTTGTAGCTAAAGTACTATTGATTAATTTGTGTTGTAATGTTATGTTGTATATTGTGTTCTGAGCATTTTTTTGAATTTTATGTTATGCATCACACACTTTAAAATTTTTATTTTTTTGAGCATGTGATTTTAAAAAAAATTGAACAAAATCTGAAATACACGTGCAAACGTGTGCTCGAGAACTAGTATATATATATGCCCTATTTTAGGGGGAAAAGTTCCCTAAAGGATTTCTCTATAGTCATGGCTGGCGGAACACAAGACCTCTAATTAAGGGAGGAACAACTTCATCCAATCAACCACATCTTTTGTGGTCCCTCTATATATATTTCCTCTTTCTTCTTTCTTTTGATAATAAAATTTGTGCGTAACTTATTATTTCATAAAAAGAAAGACTAATTAATTCATTTCCCTAATTTTTTTACTTTGATATATTTTCTCTTCTTAGCACCTATTGTTGGAAAATATAATATCAAAAATAATAATATGAGAATTAAGATAAATACTATTACAATAATATTCTTAAGTAATATATATATATATATATATATATATATACATAAATACTTGCGTCGTGTTAGGCACTGTCCTAAGAAACTATTTCAGCAATATAAAATACTGGTAAAATTACTCGCGGAAATTTAATATCACGAAATTTATAAAATAATACTTAAAACCTATCAGGCATTAAAACTAAAACACTATATTATCTTACATACAAGATTACGTAGTAACAAACATTAATAATGTAAAGGAAAATGAAATCATTACATCTTATAATTTAGCCTTAATAGCATAAGCATAAATTATAAATTAATGATTGTAAAAATACATATCAGGATCTATAACCAGTGGCGGAGCTAGGATTTTTAACAAGGGGGTTCAAAATCTGAAAAAATAGACACATGAAGTAGCCGAATGGGGTTCGACATCTACTATATCTACCTAAAAAGTTATTTTAACCATGTATAAATTATATAATTTTCTGCCGAAGGGGTTCGGATGAACCCCCTAATAGTAAGGTGGCTCTGCCACTGTTTGTAACATAAACAATAGTGTCAATGAGCCCCTCAACATGAGCAAAGTATACAAATATTTAATTGTGAAGAAGAAGAGGAGGAGGAGGTTCAGAATTTTCGTTGTGCTAAAATGAGAGGAAATCCCTCTATTTATAGACAACAAAGGGTAGTGTGAATAAATGTTTATTGTGTCTTATCAGAACTGTTACAACTATTTGGAAAAGTTGCAACCCTTCAGAAAGGTAACAACCTTTCATAAAAGTCATAACTTTTCATAAAAGTCGCAACTCTTCATAAAAGTCGCAACTTTTCATTAAAGTCGCAATTTTTTCATAAAAGTCGCAATTTTCATAAAAGTCACAACTTTTCATGAAAGGGAAGACTAATTTTGTAAATAAATAAATTAAAAGAAAATTTTGATTTGTGATGGCGCCACGTAGGCGGGCCTAAGGTTCTCTTTTATATATATACAAGATAATGTTGTTCGTGCTATGCACGCGCCCA